ACCATATCCAACCACATGTACATCCAACCATATCCAACCACATATACATCCAACCATATCCAACCACATGTACATCCAACCATATCCAACCACATGTACATCCAACAATATCCATCCACATGTGCATCCAACCACATGTGCATCCAACCACATCCAACCACATGTACATCCAACCACATGTACATCCAACCATATCAACCACATGTACATCCAACCATATTCAACCACATGTACATCCAACCAAATGTACATCCAACCACATGTACGTCCAACCACATCCAACCACATGTACATCCAACCAAATGTACATCCAACCACATCCAAATCCAACCACACTGTGTACATCCAACCACATCCAAATCCAATCACATCCAAATCCAACCACACTGTGTACATCCAACCACATCCAACCACATGTACATCCAACCACATGTACATCCAACCACATGCAACCACATGTACATCCAACCACATGTGCATACAACCACATCCAACCACACTGTGTACATCCAACCACATGTACATCCAACCACATCCAACCACACTGTGTACATCCAACCACATGTACGTCCAACCACATCCAACCACATGTACATCCAACCAAATGTACATCCAACCACATCCAAATCCAATCACATCCAAATCTAACCACACTGTGTACATCCAACCACATGTACATCCAACCACACTGTGTACATCCAACCACACTGTGTACATCCAACGACATGTGCAGAACCAGTCAGACCTGGGGTCAGAACCAGTCAGACCTGGGGTCAGGACCAGTCAGACCTGGGGTCAGAACCAGTCAGACCAGGGGTCAGAACCAGTCAGACCTGGGGTCAGGACCAGTCAGACCTGGGTCAGGACCAGTCAGACCAGGGGTCAGAACCAGTCAGACCTGGGGTCAGGACCAGTCAGACCTGGGTCAGGACCAGTCAGACCTGGGGTCAGGACCAGTCAGACCTGGGGTCAGGACCAGTCAGACCTGGCTCATGAACATGTGGGTGTGTTTGATGTTCTCAGGATGCCTTGTTCAGCTCCCTGCTGGATGACCCGTACCTCAGTCTGCAGCTGTCAGGAAAGACCAACCAGCAGGTGAGCTCACATCAGTCTGACCCGACCCGACCCGACCCGACAGGAAGCAGAACTCTCTTCACAAATCTAACAGTTCCTCCTTCTGCTGCAGTTCTGTGCTGAGAACCCGGTTGACGGTCTGTCCCTGAACCACGGCGGGCTGAGCTGCACCAGCAGTGACAAGAACCAGTTCCCCCTCAGCAGCCAGGGGAGCCTGGACCCCCAGGAGCCCGGAGACCAGCAGATGTTCAACAATCAGAACCAGAACTACAACGCTGGAGACGGTCGACACAGCGTACCCAACATCATCCTCACAGGTACCAGAACCTCCTGTGATGTCATGATGTCTTCATTTCTACTTCCTGGATTTAAGTAAAGGGGCGGTGCTACCTGGCTGAGCCACAGAGACCACCTGAGACCACCTGAGACCAGCGGTCTTGGTTCTGATGAACCCAGCTGCCTCATCAGACCAGCCTGCAGAGTTCTAACTGGACTTCCTACCCCCTCCCCCATCTTGTCTCTGCAGGAGACTCCCCCACAGGTCTGTCCAAGGAGATCGCCAGCGCCCTGTCCCGTGTCCCCGGCTTCGAGATGGACCCCTTCTCTCTGGACGACCAGCTCAGGATGGACCCCCTGTCCCTGGACATGCTGGAGGGGGACCTGATGCTGGCTGACCCGGCTGTGGAGGACTCGTTCCGGTCCGATCGGCTGAAATGACGCCCCCCCTCCCCCCACTGAACAAACACAACCTGTGAGGAGGTGAAGAATACGCCCCGCCCCCCAAC